CGGTGAGTGGGGGGCGATGGAGGGCAGCAAACTCAGGAGGGAACGTATGGGGCATGGGGGGGCAATGCACGGCCCCCTCCCTGTGCCCCGTGCTATGAATGGCGCCAGGATTGGGTTTCAGGGCTGAGGCGAGGGCGGCATTTCAGCGGCACAGGTCTGGCATGGGGAAACTGAGGCACGAGTGGGGATCAGAGTGCGGGGGGGAGGCAGGTGGCACTGGGGATCTCCTGCCTGCAGGAATGGGGCCAAGGAGGCTCAGCCCCCCACTGTGACCCCCAGCACCGGGCAGCACTGGCTGTGTGGGATCAGGCCCTGAGCGCAGCCCGAAATGGGAAGCGAGAGGAGAACCCACGGGGAGCGAACGGGAGCCACGCTGCAGTGTGACACGTGGGGACGTCCCACACCGGGGACAGGGACAGCTGTCAACACTCCTGGTTCCACGAGGGAACACCCACAGGAACCCATCCCCGTGGCACTGAGCCTGGCTGGGCGGATTCCCCACAGCCCAGCAGCACTCGGGACAGTGCCACCACCTCCCCTATTGGGGCACAGGGACAAACCGCGGTGTCCCTCAGTGCAGATACTCCAGCACTTGGGACTGTGCCTAAAATTAGAGGGGATGAGCAGGGCCCCCCCCCCGGTGCCCCACGGCCCCGTTTCACTGCCGGTGCACAGAGCTGGCGCACATGGCTGACAGCTGCAGGGTGGCATTGCGCCCTGCATGGCTGTGACTCAGCGCCGGGGGGTTGGGAGGAGGGATGTGGGGCTGCGGGGTCTCTGAGCCCAACCTCTGCACTCCCATCCTGCAGCTCTTTGCCATCTTTGCTTTCGGGGCGTGCGGATCTTTCAGCGGTGAGAGCGGGGCCACGGTGAAGTGCAACGATGAAAGCCAAGGGATGACTGCCATTTCTGTGCAGTTCGGGTACCCGTTCAGGTGAGGGGTGGCCGAAATGGGATCCCCTGCCCGCACTGTGATCCCGGCGTGGCCACATTGGGACCTGGATGGGGCTGGGTGGGATGTGAGGTTAAAGCCGGTGCTCGGTGCCGGCATCCCAAACGAGGTGTGAGGATGGGATGGGGAAACCGTGGGTTTGGTGTATGGGGGTGGATGTGGGGCTTCCTCCATTCTGTCGGTGATGGTTTGTAGCACCTGCTGCATCACACGGGGGATTTGGGCACAGCCATGGGGCCGTCCCCCAGTCCTGTGGCCCCCCTGGGCATTCCCTGCCCCATCCCCTCCCATCCCCTCCGCCCTCCCGGTGCCACAGTCCCCCCCCCGGCCCCGTTCCCCCCAGGTTGCACCAGGTCCTCTTCGAGATGCCCAAGTGCGACAGCGAGTCGGAGGCGCGCATGCTGCACCTGGTGGGCGACTTCTCCGCCCCCGCCGAGTTCTTTGTGACCCTGGGGGTCTTCTCCTTCCTCTACGCCATGGCGGCTCTGGTGCTCTACCTGCGCTTTCATTCCCTTTACGCCGACAACAAGAAGCTCCCGTTCACGGTAAGGGCCGGGCGGCGGGCACCACTCCCACCCCACAACGGCGGCACTGAGCCCGGCCCCACAACACCCACAGGACTTCTGCGTCACCGTCTGCTTCGCCTTCTTCTGGCTGGTGGCGGCGGCGGCGTGGGGCAAAGGGCTGAGCGACGTCAAGGCGGCCACGAGGCCGTCCAGCCTCATCGCAGCCATAAGTGTGTGCCAGAACAACGAAGCGGTGTGCAACGCCGGCGCCACGCCGGCCATGGGGCTGGCCAACATCTCCGTGGTGAGCACGGGGGGGTGGGCAGCACGTGGGGGGGCTGTGCGTGGGTTCGGTGTGTGCATGCATACGTGGCTGCATGCATGTGCGTGTGCACATGTGAGTATCTGCGTGCACGTGGGGTACGTGCCCCATATAGTGATGTGTATGGATATGGGTGTCCTGCCCCATATAGAGGTGTGTATGGCCGTGGGTGTCCTGCCCCATTTAGATGTACTTATGGCCATGGGTGTCCTGCCCCATATAGAGGAGTGTATGGCCATGGGTGCCCTGCCCCATATGGAGGTGAATATGGCCATGGGTGTCCTGCCCCATATAGAGGTGAATATGGCCATGGGTGTCCTGCCCCATATAGAGGTGTGTATGGCCACAGGTTTCCTGCCCCATATAGAGTTGAATATGGCCATGGGTGTCCTGCCCCATTTAGATGTACTTATGGCCACGGGTGTCCTGCCCCATATGGAATTGAATATGGCCATGGGTGCCCTGCCCCATATAGCACTGTGTGGCCATGCATGCACAGATATGTCTGTGCACACGTGGGTA